GAGTATATGTGGTTTAATATTAAATATTGTTTGCATAAATTGATCTAAAGAGTATTGCTCTCTAAGCTGAAAACCAAACTTGCTCAGTGATGATGGTATAATGAATCTCTGCTTATGCTGCATTAAAGTATTGCCTTATTGCAAAGATTGCAAAATCTGGCTTAAAAAAGATTCCTTTTGCTAGTAAGCACTAAAATTCCCTGTTGTTAAACCTGTTTTGACAATGCAACTCTCCCCAGCGTAACACAAGATTTATTTTTAGCACTAGGACTGCCAAAGCTGAACACCTGTTTGACTGTAACCCTAGAACTTTTGGGACAGACGAGGTCTTTGTTTAGATATTGAACATTGTTGCTGCTTCTGTGAGTTCCCAGGGTGATGCTGCCGTGCTCAAGGTTGCATTTTTCTACATTCACTCATCTGTTTTTATTCTAGGAGAAAGTACCTTAATTTTGAGAGACTTGAGACTCAGCTTAAGGCCTGTCACTGCAGAATCATGTTTTCTAAAGCCAAGGTAAACATCTTGAAAGTTCAAAGACAGTGAAACTACTGAAACTTAACAAAGCAGTGTTCAAAAACGTTGTCTCTCTCTCCAGCCTTCTGTCTTGGCACTGTCTATTATGGCACTAGAGATAGAAGAACAAAAGCTGCTGGAGTTGACAGAGGCATTGGAATTTCTGCAGTTGCATTCCAAGGTATGTACACACAAAGTTTCAGGGGAGGACAGAATTAAAATGCTTGCAAGGGTCTACACAGTGGGGAAGGGGGAGGTGCATTGTCATACTGGTTTCTTTTCTGGCTTTGTTGTGGTGTTTTGTTGGTTTTTTTTCCATTTGGCCTGGGATATTTGGCCAAAGATGCAAAGATGAAGAAGCTGGAAGTACATGTATGAAATAAGGATTTAACTAGTTATTAATGACAGAATCTTTTCTGTCTTGCTGTTTAGATAAACAACAGAGATTTGACCTTCTGGAAGGAACTGGTTTTAAAGTGCCTTACAGAATATTCCTCGAGCAAGTGCTCCAAACCAAATGTCCAGAAGTTAAAGTGGATTGTGTCTGGACGTACAGCACGGCAGCTCAAACACAGCTACTACAGAATAACACACCTTCCTACCATTCCAGAGACCAGCTCATAAAAGGTAACTCCTTGCAAAATCAACTTCTGATAATGTAGAAGTAATTAGCTATTAACTGCCTCAAAGTTTCTTATTCCATGTAGGTTACCTCATGGAAAATATGTAACATAAACACAGTAGGCCTGTCTTAGAGGCAGGTCTGTTCTCGTGTTCATGCTTGAGCCACTGCTGTACCTAAAGAAGTGACAACCTAATATATGAACACTGGAGAACTGATCCTCTGGTGTGCTGTTGGGGGCAGAAATGTTCTATAGACATTGGGACCTCATTCAAACTAAAATTTGGAGTAAAGCTGGTAAAAAGGCAGAGAAAAAACTTGACTTGCTCCCATTCTAAAAAGAAAAAAAAGTAAAATCAGCCTGTTAGAATGAGTTTCTTGTAATTGTTCACTTAAACCACTTAACAAGGAAGACAGTTTTAATACCATTTTACTGTTCAGTAAAGTCTAAAATCTGTAATTCAGTCATTCATGTTACTGCAGTTTTACTCTGTAGAAACTGTGAACTACTTCCTTACCCAGACTTTAATTCCAGAGGCTACACCTTTCCTGCTGTATTGCTGTTGTCTTGCTGTATTAAGATCTCATGTTTTGTTTGGCTCTTGTTGAAAGCCCTTCAGTTGACTGGTTTGTTTGTTTTTACAGGAGTACAATAACATGAAGGAAAAAACATCCTGTGACCTTGTCAACAGGCACATGAATACTTGAGAAACAAAGTCTGAACCATGATCTTAACGAAGAACTCAACTCATGGAAAGAACACGTAACATTTCAGACTAAAGATCCTCCCAGCAAATATGTTCTTTTCATGATGATTACAACAGAATGTGGTGTCACTTTTCAGTCTTATTTGGCAGACTGTTCACTATTCAGTGAAACACCACAATACAAGGAATTTTAACACCTTATAGTTTGTAGAGCAGCTCGTGTAATCTAACCTTGGTTTACTGTAACTGCAGGTGCCGAATCATATATTTAATTTAAAAAATCGGGTTCACTTTCCGAGGATTACATGATACTAGAAAGATACGATGTGCAGTGCTGCAGTGTGTTAATCAAACAGCAGACTAATCCCACTCACTACTGCTGACAATAGCAAATTCCTGTCAGCCCACCTGACGTGCTGTTTGGGCAGTGTCATGTGTCCACGTGTCCCTGCTGAGCAGGGCACTGGCCTTCTACCATAGACACATTAAAAATTAGCCTTTGTGATACCCACTGAACGTGTTGAGTAGCTAAAGCAGGAGGAAAGAAAAAGTTTAATGCATTTCCTTATAAAAGGCAGTCACTAACACAGCATCAGTAACTGCAGTGTTTTGTGAGAGCCGTAGTTTACTGAGATTACAAATAGGAATTAGTTCCCAGAGTGTAAAAACTCTGTGATACCTAATGAAGGCCAAGAGAAAGTACTGGCTCACATGCTCTAGATCTGACATTAGTTTTGCAGAGTTTTGCTGTACTAAAGGTAAATGCTGATGCTGAACAGGCACATTGCCACAGGCACAGTAGGAGCAGGGCTAATTCCCCATCTTGGACTGTGTGTAGGAGCAATCTGGTTGAGAAACATTGAAGATTGCTTCAACTCTGATCTCTAATGGTAACCTGTGTAAAATACAACTGTTTTTTTTCTGCAGACCAGATCAGTACTTGAGGCATATCATGCTTCTAGTGCTAAAAAGGAAGTGAATAATAGGAATGTATTATTGTATGTTAGATGACTAGAGGTGCTGGGGGAATGTTGCTTATGTCCTCTTGAATTCTGCATCACTGTGGGATGGGGGACGTTAGCAACAGGCTGTGAAAACTGATTGTCATATGGACCAGTGTAGTGGAGAAGGAGAGATCAGAGTGTGGGCTTAGGTGTTAGCCAGCCAAGCCTTCCCCATTATGGGAACAGCTGAGGGGGAAACCATTCAAACCAGTTAAACCTTTCACACAAGACTCCATACCAAAGCTCTGTCCTGGACTAATCAAGCCTCACGAGCTCATGGGAGTGACTGCACATGTACCATGTAATTGGGTATTGCACCTGCCAGAGCTCCCTGGGCATTGTCCTGGCTTGTGCAAAGCACTCCAGGGATTTGGACAAAGGTGTGCTTGGACTACTGGGAGAGGATACAATTCTCATTGTCCTGTCTCAATATTAAGATATGTACCTTTCAATTAAACATTGAAATGTGCTTAACTGAGCAGCTTTTTTCTTTCTTGTTATAAAACATCTTAGTAGGAAGCCTATAAAGTGACTTACACCCAAACAGTACCTGGAGGAAAACTTCCAGGCATGAGGTAAGACACTATGGAGAAGTTTTTTCAGTTTGTTGTTACAATTGATTACAATTTTTTCAACTTGGCCCACAATTACTCTAAATTCTTTGAGATGTGAATGTGTCGAGACTGAAAAGACTGACTTAAGTAGCTTAGACTGTTCAAATTTGGCTTCAGCTCTTCCATTATTTATCTAATAGTACGTATCATTCCAAGTGGTTGAAATGCTTCATGGCTGTGTCCTTAATGGTGTGTACAGAATTCCTCATTGGCATGTGCAAAAGGTTGTATGAAATAATAGCTGAGTTTACAATGTGGCTATTAAATTTAAAACTATATACTAAAATGTACAGCTTTCTAGATACACTGTCAACAATTTGCACTCTATGTTGGCAATGAATAGATGCAAGATAGCATTTCCTACTTAGGGACTCTTTCCAATTCCTTTGAAAAGTCTTTATATTTTCTTACTTTTAAAATCTTGAATACTTGTATGGGGAGACTATATTACATTAACACATAAAATTATCTAAATACAGATTTTCACCTCGCCTTTCAGTTTTCTAACATTGCTTACCTGGTAGCAAGCATTAATAATTAGTGCTATATTTGACAGCACAATGCATTGTATCTTGCCTCAAATAAGGTTTTACAGTAGTTGATTTAAATCACTTTTTAGAATGACATTACAAGTTCTCAGAGGGCTGCTACAAAGGGAAGGTGTTATTGTAGCCATCCTAATATCCTTCCTGTTACAAGTTAAAAGAAAATATTAACTATAACAGCTGTTCTTCAACAGTGAATCACAGAATGGGTAAGGCTGGACCAAGGGTGGGGCCATCTGGTCCCACCTCCCTGCTCAAGCAGGGTCATCCCAGAGCACATGGCACAGCATTGTGCCCAGATGGCTCTGGAATGTCTCCAGTGAGGGAGGCTCCACACCCTCTCTGGGCAATCTGTTCCAGTGCTCAGTCACTGCACAGGCAAGAAGTTCTTCCTCGTGTTCAGGTGGAGCTTCCTGGGCATCAGTTCCTGCCTGTTCCTCTTGTCCCACTGCTGGGCATCCCCGAGCAGAGCCTGCTCCATCCTCTGACAGACATGGATGAGGTCCCCTCTCAGTGTCTCTTCTCGAGGCTGAACAGCCCCACCTCCTTCAGCCTTTCCTCATAAGGGAGATGCTCCAGTCCCTTCATCATCTCTGCAGCCTCTGCTGGACCTGCTCCAGGAGCTTTCTCTTGTCCTGAGGAGCCCAGACCTGGACACAGCACTGCAGATGTGCCTCACTAGGGCTGAGCAGAGGGGCAGGATCACCCCCTGACCTGCTGGCAATGCTCTTCCCAATGCACCCCAGGATCCACTTGCCCTTCTTGTCCCCCAGGACACACTGCTGGCTCAGGGACAGCTTGTCCACCAGAACCCCCAGGGCCTTCTCTGCAGAGCTGCTCTCCAGCAGATCAGCCCCAGCCTGTGCTGGTGCCTGGGGCTGTTCCTCCTCAGGTGTAGATAAGCAAGAATAAGATGTATAAAGACAAGTGGTAGATTTATAACTCACTAGCTTACTACGGTGTTTCTAATAAGAAAAAATACCCAAACCAAACATTCTGCTCAAAAATGTTAGTTTTTTATGTACACCTTTCTCTATAATTTGTCCCTTAGTATTATAAGATAATTGCAGCTTATAAATCAGCTGGTAACATTTTATCTTCATTCTGCTGGAAGAGACCTCCTCTTGACTTAAGTAATTACTTTTGACAACAAGCCATTGAAGAGATCACTGAAGTCTTCACCAGTTCCGTGATTCCAGTCCTTAACTGTAACATGTAATTCCTCTAAAAGAACACAGATAAAGTTTACTTTTCAAGACTAGAAAAGTCTGGTCCTCCTTTGCTGTAGTTCCCAGAAATTTCTGCCCCACTGAAGTCAAATCCAGGGTTCTGATGGAGGTAAAAGAAAAAAATTGTTCAATAAATAGATTATTTGTAATAAAAATGCTTAAAAAACCCCCAACCCAACGCCTAAAACACTTTGGTAATATTCTACCGCTGTAACAAAGATATATAATAATCAACTTATCAGTTTGCCATGGCACTGCAAAACAACCTTTTGAAAGTACAGTGATAAAGCCTTATAAGCATTTTATATATATTGAACTAAAACATATGTTTCCATGGCACTGGGCAGCAGAACCATTTTGCTCAGCTTTCCTGGCTGTAACCTCTGTGTGCAAACACAAAATATAAGGAGTTTATGGTCCTTTAACTTGCCTCTCTTTGGAATCGTTCCAGTGTGAGCTTCCTCTGCATCTGGTCCTGTACCCAAGGATCAGCAGCATATTCATTTTCTAACAGAGATGTCCAACAATTTCCAGCATCTCTATTTGTCTTCATTAGTACAATTCGTATCAGCTGCCTGTCTTCTGTTGAATGAGAACACAGAGAACAACCTTTAGACTCAGTCCTGTGTGCCAGTCTTTTTGTTTTGGTGAATTCACCATTAACAAGCACGGGGTGTGTGAAGTAATTTAAATTCTTAATGCCAATGCCAACTGGGTTATTGATAAATAAATAAACATTAACAAGAAACAAAAAGGCTGAAGCAAAGATAGCCTGCACTGTCATCTCTCCCCTTTCTGGCTCGAAGTTGTTTTAAGGCATTAAAACACAGTGCATAAGAACTTCTATTGCAAACATAAACTAACCTCTTGAAGAGGTTCACAACAGAGAAGAGATTTAATCTATTAATACAGACACCTCTGCTAAGGCAATAATGATTTGAGGTCAGGCTTTACAGAGTTATTACCAACAAAAGTCAGAACTAAGTTTTAGGGACACATGAAGGGATAATTAATTTGCTTAGACACAGTGTGCATGCCCACAGACAATATACTGGAAGCAGATTTCAAAGTTAGCACATAGGGTGCTTAGTTCTACTTAAGTGAATAAATACAGCATTGTAAGTGTATTTTGAAGATTATTCACATACTGAAAAAGATGGGCTTAACAATGTTTGTTAACACTTCTAGTTTTCATGCTTAAGTTACTAAATTATTAATCTATATTTAGAACAAATATTGAATGGAAAACAAAATTCTTCACAGGAAACATTAAGTGAGAGGCACAGTCCACAAACATGACTGCCAAAACATGCTGAATATTTTACAGTATTTATAATATAACAATCAGATATGCTTTTTTTGCTAATTATATGTAGCTACCTTAGTGGGATTTTTAAATTTCTTTTAGATTCTCTGGGACTGCAGATTTTGTCACCCGTTCCAAAAATATAATGCATAAGAGAAGGAGAAAAAAACAGGAAAAGTAACAATTATGGAGAGGCACAGACCACAAAACTGTACCATCATTATTTACCTTTAAACGATGGTGTGCAAAAAACTTCTCACCTATATGCAAGTGTTTGTAATTCACTGACTATGGCCTTCCAGGATATGGTATTTTCCCATTAACCCTTATCTCTAGGGCTTTTATAGTACCTCAGTTCCTCAATCCAGCGATAATGACCTTTTTACAAAGCTTTGTACAGGGAAGAATCTTTTCCATTAGAAAAGGGGGGTGTAAACTCTTCTGCAGCACATATTGAGAAGTTCTACTGCCTTTATGTCATTTCAGATGCAGGTTATTACCTAATGTCCATGTTCCTTCATCAGTTACTGTAGAGTCAAAAAGTTTACCCTGCAAAAGACAGGTACAATATTACAAACCAGGAAAACCTCATCAGCATCTAGTTATATTGAATCATGAAGTTTTACTCACAACTTACAATCTTGTTTTCTGCTGAAAACAAATAGGGTGATCTGGCCCTACAAGTATAGACTTGCATATAGACTGTCAAAGAATTATTGTTTGTTAAGCAATTTTTTTTAAATTAATCATTTAATACCCATCACTGTTTCAGTATCTGGATTCAATGGAATGGCTTGTGTTTCTCAGCAGGCAATGCCATTTTTAGTACTCTTGCCATGAAAATGTCAGGGTTTGTGCCAAGGGCAATGCACAGGTCTGGTGCAGGGTACGTACAGTATGAACTGTTTGTTACCAATGTGAAAGTAAATCTGCCTCTGGTTTGGTTTTTTTGGCTTTCTGGAGCAATCAGAACTGAAATGCTGCCCGCATCCCTACCCAGAATGTAAATCCATGTGAATTTATTCTCTTCTTACAGAATCATAGAACGGTTTGGGTTGAAAGGGACCTTAAAGATCATCTCGTTCCACCCCCTGCCACGGGCAGGGGCACCTTCCACTATCCCAGGTTGCTCTAAGCCCTGTCCAACCTGGCCTGGAACACTTCCTGGGATGGGGCATCCACAGCTTCTCTGGGCAACCTGTGCCAGGACCTCACCACCCTCACAGGGAAGAACTTCTTCCTAATATCCAGTCTAGCCCTCTCTCTGTTTGAAGCCATTCCCTCTTGACCTGTCAGTACATGGCCTTGTAAAAAGTCCCTCTCCAGCTCTCTTGTCGGCTCCCTTCAGCTACTGGAGCACAGGAACAGTTTGGAAAAACCTCGTGCAGCTGGACAAAACTGTTTTTAATAAACTTATAACTGACTAGTTTATTACGCTGTTTCTAACAAGAAAAAACCACTCAAATGAAACATTCTGCTTAAAGATGTGAGTTTTTTATGTGCACCTTTCTCTATAGTTTGTCTGTAGTATTATAGGTTATTGCAGCTCATAAATCAGCTGGTAACACTTTATCTTCATTCTGCTGGAAGAGACTTCACTGAAGTAATTACTTTTGACAACAAGCCATTGAAGAGATCACTGAAATTTCCACCAGGTATATGATTCCTTTTGATGTATCAAACCCTAGATCTCTAAGGAAGAACAGAGAGGAGCCACAGGGCACAGGTGTGGAAACCTCTCAGGCAGCGAGGGGCAGGACATAAGGACGTAGATTTAAGCTGCACCAGAGGCGATTTAGGTTGGACTTTAAGACGAATTTCTTCATAGAAAGGATGATAAGACATTGGAACGGGCTGCCCAGGGACGGGGCGGACTCACCGTCCAAGGAAGTGGCACCCGGTGCCACAAGGTGTTGTTGGGTCACAGGCTGGACTCGATGATGATGCTGTGACCCTGTGACCCCCCCAGCGCCCCGCGGCCTCCGCCCCGGCCCTGCCGCCGCCCCGTCCCGTCCCTCCCGGTGCTCCCCGGCGGTACCTGCAGCAGCTCCTGCCCTCCCACGGCCAGCGCGATGTCGCGGCTGCCCAGGCTGCACCGCACGTCCTTGGCGCGGGTGCCCGGCGGGACGCGCACCTCGATGAACACCTCCTCCAGCGTCTGGTACCAGCGGCCCCACGGCGTCCCGCAGGGCACCACCCCGCTGCGCTCCTCGAACGGCGCCGACATGGGGCACGGCGGCTCCGGCGGGCACCGCTCAGCACAGCTCGGCCGCGGCAGCAAGGCTCAGCGCGGCTCGGTATCGCAGCGACCGCCGCCCCTCAGCGCCGCACGGCCCCCGCCCCGCCCCGCGCACGCGCCCCGCGCGGCCGCGCCCAGCCGGCCACCCTCGAGCCGATTGGCTGAGGCGTGCGGAGCGGCGCGCGGTGATTGGCCGGAGGGCGCGCGCTGCGGCCGTTGGGCCCCTTTGAAAGCCCGGGGCCGAGGGGGATGGATCCCACTGCAGTCATGGCGTCCGTGCCGCTGGAGAAGGGTCGCTCCCGGAGTGCTGGTACGGGGCAAGAACTGGGCTTGGGCGGGGAACGGGGTCCTTCAGCCGTGCCCGGGGGAACGGGGACCGAGCGCTTCAGCCTTGCCCGGGGGAGCGGGGACCGAGCCCTAGTGTGTCCCTCGCTGCCGGAGCCGCCTGTAGCGCGGCGCTTCAGGACCCCCGGAGCTCTCGCAGGTGTCTCCTGAGGGAAAAGATCCCGACTTCGTGTCCAATCCTGGCTGTTGCTAGATAAATACAGCAGTGAACGTGCCTAATGTGCGCGCTAACTAAAGCGGTGCTGGTCCTTGGTGTCCTCTGGTTCCGTGGTACAGCACGGCAAGGGACACGTACGGCTGAAGTGCTGCTCTTGAGGGTGTTTTGTGATGTATGACTTTCTGAATGAGTTTTTGGCTTTACCTGGTGCCTCTCTGCTGCCGTCGCCTGTTTTCGTGTTAAATGATGCTTTTATTTGCAGAAAGTCGAAGCGAGTAGATAAGCATTTACCGGGCTTGAGACTAATAATCGAATAAAGGGCTTGTAGCCATCATGATTCTATTGGCTGTTTCCCTTAAAATTATTTAATTTCTAAAAAAAACCCCGAAACGCTTTATTTTTGTTATAGAAGTTTAAGTGACTTAGTTATTTGAAGGAAAAGGCATTCACTAATATGTAAGTAGTATCTTCTAAATTGGGAAATGATGATTTTAAAAAACAAATGAAGCTTTTTAACACTTCAGGCTGGCTTTTTAACCAAATAGCATTAAGATCCTTTAGCCAT